TTCCCTTTCGTGAGAAAATGATCCCACAAACAAAGGAATTGTGCAGTACGAAATAACATAAAAACGGATTCATTAAAAAGGAAGACCTTTTACTCAAATTGTTTCTTTTTGACAGGAATCAATAAAAAAAATCCGGGGGCGGTTCATGAATTTGGAATAAATTTATGGGTTAAGAAGTTGGAGTAAAGAGTTGTTGTTGAAAAATCTAAAACTGGAAAGAAATTTTATAATTTTTATGAAAATTGAATAATAGTGTAAACTAAATAGAATCATGATTTAAAGGTATCCATTAAACACAGTCTAAAAAAAATATATCGATCATTGGATTCGTTTCAATTGAGTGATTTAATCCGGTATAAATATTAGAAAGGGCGGAAACACCATCTTCGCAAACATGAATAGATATATATCCTTATTTTACAATTTTTCCCAAAAAGGATTTATCTTTATCCCCAGCCTCGGAGGAAGGATTTTTCTTTGATGAAAAGTTTTCTATTTTTAGAGTTAAAATTGAATGTACATAATACCTATCCAAAATAATATGAATGACTCACTATTCACTCGGTTTTTGGGCCATAATCATTATGTAGGAGAGATGGCCGAGTGGTTCAAGGCGTAGCATTGGAACTGCTATGTAGACTTTTGTTTACCGAGGGTTCGAATCCCTCTCTTTCCGTACTCGTCAACTAATTCACCAATGTTACTGACTGCAATGCATCAAATAAGAATGGATACTCCAACAGTTAGACCTTTCTTTGATATAGATTATCTATTCCTACCCCGAATTTCTGTGGTACGAAAAATACTGGACAAAATCGACAAGGAATGAAAATACCCTACCGATCTATGATACATGAATAAGAGAAAAATCCCCAGATGAAACCCCTTACCTTACTTACCCCGGGTCCCTTTACTTAAGCCAAAATGAAGGGGGCAAAATTGCCCGAACCCTTGTTATTTTAGTTATGGTTAAGTCTGACGAGAGTAATATTCTACAACTAGCAATTCGTTTATTTTCAAACCGACCCATTTACTATCTATTATTTGATTGACTAATCCTTCATATTGGAATGGGTGAAGAGTCAAATGTTTTGGTAATTCCTCACGGGGGGGTGAATCAAGATAATTTTGAATCAGAGCCCTGGATTTTTGCTCATCCCTCACTGTAATAATATCTCGGGGTTTGCAGCGATAACTTGGTATATCTACTATACGACCATTAACTAAAATATGTCTGTGGTTAACTAATTGGCGGGCTTGAGGAATAGTCGAAGCCATACCTAATCGAAAAAGGATGTTATCTAAACGCATTTCAAGTAATTGTAGTAAAACCTGACCTGTTGACCCTTTGGCTTTTCCGGCGATCCGAACGTATTTAAGTAATTGTTGTTCTGTAAGACCATAATGAAAGCGCAATTTTTGTTTTTCTTCTAAACGAATACGATATTGAGATTTTTTGCCGGGGCGCGATTGGTTTCTAAGATCGCTTCCGGCTCTAGGCTTTTTACTAGTTAGCCCCGGTAAAGCCCCCAGACGACGGATTTTTTTGAAACGAGGTCCTCTGTAACGCGACATAAAGACTCCTTATTTTTTATGAAATTTCATAAAACAAAATTAAAACTAAACTAAAATATGATAAATTAAGCGAAATTTACTGAAGTATTACAAAGAATAAATAATTAGAGGAATTGTATCAATATCCGTACCTTATTGTATATAAATAATTGTATTATATAAATAAAAAGAATTTAAAATAATAAAAATTTAGGGTTCTTTTCTTATCTTAATTGATTTGTTCTACAGAGACCGAACTCCTCCAATCCAATTTTTATTCATAATTGGAAGTTCCTACGAAATAATAGAAATAGATCAGTGACCCTTGGGAAAAGGGAAAGAAGTTTTTCACTTTGATTTCACATTATCAATTTAATTATGTAAAAAATCAAACAAATGGAGAAAAGCCGGCTATCGGAATCGAACCGATGACCATCGCATTACAAATGCGATGCTCTAACCTCTGAGCTAAGCGGGCTCGCATAACATAAATTGTACACATATACTAATTTAGTAAACTACTGAGATATTAATTGTTCATTCTTAGCTATTTCATAAGAAATATTATTTATATAAAAATAATAAAAAAAAATATATAAAATATATATATAAAGAATATTTCCAAAAATATTGGATATTTGAATATTAAATTTCGATCTATTTCTCAAATATATGTTTATCGATAATTAATATCTTAATTAGCTTAATTAAATAGTAAGATTTTTTTTTACTATTCTATAGTACTATGTTTTTTTGATATTTTATTATATTTCATATATATTATATATGAAATATATTTTAATTTTTTTATATATTTTATTTAGAATTATCTTCTAATTATAAATTAACGGAATGATTGTTTATAGCCATTTTATTAGTTATGGCTAGTAATTAAATTTTAAATTAATAATACTCAAATTTTCCTTTTTTTTGTTATGTTATAGAG